TTATGTTTACGACAGGGGAAAACTGATAGAAGAGAAGCTAAATGAAAGGACATATGTTTGCCCAAATAACATATAAAACTTTTTGAAACATAAATTTTGCTTAACTGAGACAGTTTAATGTGCTTTTTTAATTAAGTATGATGTTGTCAATGAGCCAAGGTCAGTTACTTAACCACCTGCCTTTTAGTAAACAGTTATTCTCATCCCATTAATGGAACAGTATATTTTAAAATGTTTTTTTTCCTATCTTTTTGCTCTCTTGCTTTTAGAAATATAGTTGCTTTTTTTCCTCTCATAAATAACCTATTCAATTTGTAATGTTTTGGTTTCCCATTGAGTTTGTCAAATAGAAATTAAAAATTAAAAATTGTTCAAATATAAATAAAAACTAACAATAATTTATCCTTAGCTAGCTGCTTCTTCTGGACTACACAATAATGTCAGCAACATGTCAGCCTTAGCAGTGACAGCTTGATTGATAATTTCATAACAGAATGCCAACAGTTTAAATGAAATATGATTTGAAGATTTGTTAACTGAATTTATGTCCAGATACTAAATCTTGGTAAAGTACAATTTAAAAGCCAAGGACACAAATACTTTGTGGACTTAACAAGTTCAAATGCCTTTTCAAGGATTTTTCAAGTCGTTTTACTACTTCTACTATTTTTCATTCTCTACAAAGTTTTTCTATCCAGCAACTATTTGATATCCAATTTAGCAGTAAAGTGCTACTTGATGTCAAATCAAATTGAAATCTCTAATTTAACATTTAAAGTCACTAAGCTCCAATTTAGCTTTTAATGTCAGGCATATAGAAAGGCAAAAAAAAATCTTTAAACTAATTTCATGTTTTGGGTAATTTTTCTCTCTAAAATAGATTATGCTACATCTGGGCTCAGGGTAGACTACAACAGGAGGTATGCCATGAAGACAAGGAAAGAAATTATCACATTTGGTTTAAGTATCTCAGATATTTGAGTGCTCACTATGCACGAGGCACTGCTTCAGGAATAAAGAGAAACATAATCAAGATGCTACCTTCGGTATGTGAGAAGATAAAATAAAAAGTATCAGATAGTAATCAATGCAAATAAGTGGTAAGGAGAGACAGTAAGGGCCATCAAAGTTCAAAGTCAAGGTCATTTCCAGCAGGCCTGGTGAGATTCATGGAGAATGGGACATGGTCTAGGTAAGATTTGGATAGATGGGGAGAAGAGTAGGAAAAAGATTTCAAACCTATAAAGTACTTCTATTGCAAATATTATTTTGCAATCTATTATTGCAAATATACAGGGTATCCCTGTATCTTAAACTATTTAAGCATAAAACTACACTAAGACTTTAGGGACACTCTACACTTCAATGCTCATTTTAAGTTTCTCCTTTCCATTGTGAATCATGATTTCCTATCACAGTTGCTGTTCACAGCACATATAATAGCACTTTATTATATAGTCTACCTTGAACTGCTTTCCAATATATTCAAATATCTAAGTATTGTCTCTCCAACTAAATTACAAGGACAGGAACTACTATATCATTTTTTGCATGCTTAACACAAAATATCTTAGGGCCTAACAAGGTTAAATTGAATGTGATATTAATACTAAGTACAGCTGCATATTCTTTGACAAAGTGAAAATTAGGCACATACTTCAAAGAGAACAAAGGAAGAAAGATCTGTATCTACAAAAATATTTATAGCAGAACTTTTTGTTATAGCAAAGAACTGGAAAATAAGAGAGTATGAGTCAATTGAAGAATGGCTGAACAAATTATTGTATATGAATGTAATAGAATACAATCTATTGTGCCATAAGAAATGATGAAAGAGAAAACCATGAAGGCTCGTATGAAATGATGAAGAGTGAAATAAGAATTATTTCTATATAACTAATATATCTAATGTAGTTGGAGATAAGATAGACCCATGAGAAGAATTTATACAATGATTACTACAACATTGTAATGGAAAACAACTATAAAAGGTTCAGTAACTGATCAATGCAATGACCAGCCACGATTCCAGAAACGTGATGAGGGTGGTATGTGGATTTGCTTTGTTTGACTATACTCATTTTTTACAAGGGAAGGCAGGGAGCTAGTGAGAGTGATGTCCCTCCCCCACAAAAAACCAGTATCAATGAAAAAAAACTTTAAATGCAAAAAAGGGAACAGAAGGAAGTTCAAAGAGACACAGACAAGTAGGACAGCTTTGGAACTAATGAATTTATTATATGCTTTTAAAAAACCAAGAAGTATAAAATGAACATTCATAGTTTCATATACAACCATCTTTTTCTGCCCTTATTTGTATATGGAAATGCTCATGTTTTTCAATGTTGGTCAAGTTCATGAAAACAAAAAAAAAATGGTAAAATTTTGAAAAAAAAAATTTAAAACTTGGGTGGTATTCTAAAATTGTGTATCATAATAGTAAACTTACAAATCCCATAACTTTCAAATTCATATTCCATCTCTAAGTGATTCTAAAGTTTTAAGAAAATGTAATAAAACAGTCTCAAGTTTCTGAGAATGAATATTCTTCAAACTAAGTCCTGAGGATTTCAGACTTGGTTGAGAAACACTCACATCCTGCTTATGGGTGCAAGTTGTATGAATTTTTTGGTAAAGTATAAATACCATATCCTAATTTTGTGAGAAAGCATTTCACTAAGATAAAGCAGGAAAGGGGAAAACAAATCACAGGACAAAAACTCATGACATCCACAAGAATGCTCTAGGAGGATATATGCACTGAAGTTAAACTTTAAAATAGTAAAAATTTCTGATACTTTAATCATCCACAGAACTTCCTGGTCTTGCAACCTTCTTTGCATCGTAGGGTACATGATATTCTTATGACTCATACTAGATGTGAATAACTGCAACGTTCTGATGCACGGATGTGTCATCATTTACCCTAATATTCAACTTCATTCTTGAATATTTATTTTCTTTAAAAGACTAAAGAGAAATTGATAGCCTTCGAAATGTAAAATGACTGTTCATTTAAGAAAACAAAATTGAGGAGTGGGTTAATATAAAATAAAATTTCAGAATACTAAAAGATTTGTAAAATTAATTTTGGAGAGAGAGGGAAATGAAATAAGTACAATAAGTCCAAGAAGTTCTTCATGTTAGTGATAGGAATTCATTGATTAAAAGAATACTGTGAAATGAACTTCCAGGAAAAGTATGAAAAAGAGACAAAAACATAAACTTTACATAAAGCAAACATTAAAAAGTAAAACATGCAAAAGTCATGTACATAGGGAATTATTTTCTATTTTAAAAAGAATAGTAGAAAGGCACATGTAATAGTAGAAAGAGAGCTGGCCTCAGAATCTAAGAAGACCTGGAATATCTGACACATACTGGCTATGTGACCTTGGGCAAATCACTTAACCTCTATACTGTCCCAGGAAATGCTCAGACTTAAAAGTTGCAGAGTAGGTGTTGATCTGCATTGATAAAGGAATTCTCCTCATGTGGAGTTCCCCATGCCAATGAAATCACAGCTTTGGTCAAAAAAAAAAAAGAGAGAATGAAAGTTTTGTTTCACAATGGGAAGTAAAATGTAAAAGAAAAGGCCAGGGAATTTTATATAAAGAAAAGCTCAATTTTAGGTTATATACTCCAAACTACTAATTTTCTGAAAAAAAAATTCCCACATATGATCTTAATATCTTGAAAGTGACATTAGTGTCTTTTTAGCATAGTTATGTTTTCATAATTTGCAAATCACAAACCTTATTCAAACTAAATATATCTAAAAATCTTATTCTTGGATAAGAGGAAATAAAAGAAAAGAAAAAAGCTCTGAAAACTGCTGAAAAGACAACCACCCAAGGCTTTCAGGTCAAGGGAGATTTGAGTTAAACATAAAGCAGAAGTGATGATTTTCATTAGCATTCAAGGAAAGACAATTTCTTTATTTATACTTACTGTTCCTCACCCAGGAAAGAAATATTTTGACTTATCTACCAAGGGAGAAATCTAGCAAAAGAAAGAAACTTACTAAAAAAAAAAAAAAATTATGGTCCATATTGCTCAATTGAGTTTTCCTTTTTAAAAAAAGGACAAATTTCATTTTTCTTTTTTAAAGAGTAGTAGATGAAAAAGAAAAAAAAAGAGCAGTAGCTATACATTAAACACTAAATGCTTTTAAAATAATTTTAAGATCTTATCTCCGTCACTTTGAAGTGAGAAATGTAAAAAGAACCTCTTAATGTAACTGAGATAAAAATATTTTAAAGATTTGTACCTAAAGGTTTACTTTTTTTTTGTAGGTCAAACAATTATAGGAAGAACTTTCAAAATAAGATGTATTTGATTAAGAAGATCTTCAATCAACCATGCTTTGTTTAATTAAATGATGAATGGGTCTCATCCCAATTTCTACAGTAGCAGAGAATGAAAATTACAGGAAGAAACTATAGTTGATTCAACATGAATTGTTTTTTAGTTCTAAGCAGTACTCCTAAGTTACTAAGAAGTGAATCACTTTCGATCTAAATATTTTATTTTTCAAATTTACAACACTGTAAAAATTCTAAAACTATTTAAAAACAAAGAGCCATGAAGAACCATAATGTGTAGAAGATGATAAACAATAAAAATCTTAACAAAAACAGTATTTAAATAAAGCCACATTTCAATCATTGTACTACTCAAAGATAAGGATTTTGTAAAAGTTATATAGCACATATTGTGCGCCAACTTACCCTACGGTAGGTCTAATGGGGAAAAAAAGGATTCCTAGAAATCCAGTGAACAATGAAGGAATTAGCATGGGATAGCACCATTTTGGGTAGGGAAAAGATGTGTGTAGAAAAACCATTTTAAAGAGGCAAACCAACTATGGAGGTATATAAGTAAGAGTGGAAAAAAAAGTAAAAAAAAAAAATACATTTCAGAAAATATCTGTATACTAATGCAGGATATCAACACTTTACATTTAAATTGTTTTATATTTTAATGATTCTCCACACAAAAAACATACATAACATTTTTCCAACACACTTTATTTTCCTTTTTTAAAAAACACTTCAACAGAACTATCCATTGGTTTTGATTTAACAGTTACAATGTTACTGTCCTATTGTAAGGTTTTATACATTACACTCAACAAAGTAACAATCCATATAAAGTAAATGCAGAGTTTTTGTGGTGGTTGTTGTGAATTCAGATCTAAGAATACCAGAAAAAAACAAGGCCATCACTTAGGCAGATAATCTGAAAACTGAATGCCTGGCTCCCTCTTGTGGCACAGGTGAGCATTATCATAAGTCCTTTATAGCATTCAGTATTGTGGAATGCACTATTACAAAAAAGACTACTTTTACATACGAACAATAAATTTTAAAGTTACTACAGAAATAAACTGGCATTTCATTAAAAATGTGTTAGATAACAAATCGCTAAAAATCACTACAAAGTTGTAAACATCTTTTTGTGTAGACAAAAAACAACCTTAATTAAATGTGGCTGCTTATGAGTGCTCCAAAGGAACACATAAAGTCTATACAAGTTCACCAACTATGGCTTGTTCCAGTTGTTTGAGCTAAATAATCAACTTGAATTTGGTAGGAGTAATAAGAAAAAAACACTTCAGAATTTACATTGGTTAACAACTAATGATAAAACTTCATATTCTGATGTGATTAAACGTAACATAAGTTTGGCTTTGACTCTAACAGGGATAGTTACCTAAAACAAATGGCATGGGAAGAAAATCAGATTATATGCCTAATACAACTCCTCTTTCTCCACATTACTAAAACAAACAAACAAACAAACAAACAAAAACAAACAACTTGACATTAAGCAAGAATATTTAACAAAAGAAATCTCATTTTCTTGCTAAAAGCTGTATTAAAAAGATATCAAAACATGAAAAAGCCAAAGATGTTTCCTCTTTTACCAATGAAGAAAAGGTCTACTTTAGAAGGTTTTTTAAAATATGCATTCCTTGTAAATTTGATGAAGAGTCCTTCCACATGAAAGATGTTCACCTAGTACTATACTAGGCATTCTTATCCCTATGCTATCCTCTCCCTTGACTCCTAAAGGACTCACACATCAAAAAGAATAGCATTCGTATTATCTTCACTTCACCGGGGTCATAGGTGATGGAAGAAACTGCTGTTTCAGTCAACCCATGAAAAATAAAACTCAACTCTACCCTTAATGAGACAATTTTTTTTAAAAAAGGGTTTGGTGCAATATCTATGACTTGAAGCAAACTGTGACAAAATGAGCTCTGTGCCTGATGGAAATTATCCTTCCAGAATTCTTTGAGCCATAAAATGAGATTGAACTTTTCTGATTAAAAAAAAAAAAATTCTTCACTATAATGATACTGGAAAAAGGAGTTGATTTCAAAAGAACTTCCAAGCTTGGTTGTAACACTGTACACTGAAAAAGCATCAGACTCTAAAGTATTCAGTCACTAGACCATAATTTTGGAAAAGTGGCAAAAAAAAAACATAAAGAGAGATTCCATTATAAGCTCTGCTGCTAGTCTAGACCCCAGAAAGACAACAGTTTAATTGCCACACTCCTCAATGAATTTCATAAAAGTTGAACATATTTCATTCTAGCTGTAATTTCTGCTGCCTTTTTTTATTTTTATATAAATAATGATCTGAAACCAGTGGATATGTGATAGGTACTTATCAGTCACTCAGAATACAAAATTTGCTATATATATATGTGTATATATACACACACACACACACACATATATATATTTTGCTGAACCATCCCCAGAAGATGACTGACATTTTTTAGCTCTTAATCTTTGCCAAAGTTAGCAAAAGCAAGCATTCTGAAGGACAACTAAAAGTATAGCAAATGTTAAGTACCTATGATCTAGTAGGAATAAATCCTCTGAAGGTTTTACAATGAATAAAACTGTCAAAGTAACCTGAGAATTTAAATGAAATAAGGAAGATACTATAAAATTCGAGTAAGATCCTGAAAACACATGGGCATTGTATAATTATATTTTTAAATTTATTTTTAAAAGGAACAGTGCATCATTTTTGTAAACTCCCACATGATAAAGGACATACCCTTAAAATTCAAAACAAGGACAGTTTTCTTACCTTTTTTTAAACAGTTCACTTTTTTGTTTTCTAGTAGCAGAAACAGAACTCTTGCTGGGTAGTCCAGGAGGAGGTTGGTTACTGACCACTGCCTTATAAAACTAAATTTCAAAAAGCATTAAACAGTTAAGCAAGTGTTTTACTTTGTTAATACTGTGATGATCTACAGTTGCTCTAGAAAAATATCCCTATGTTATTAGGCAACCAAACAATTTAAAAATAAAATTTACCATATATTCTATACGGAAGTACAGTCAACCTGAAAATGCTATAAAACTATCTTGTGCTTGTGCTCTATCTAGTAGAAGAAATTCTAATGATCAGGAATTTTTCAGTCTTAGAAGGTAATGAATGTACTGTCAAGAATAATTCCCATGTCTGACTTTTATCAAGGCTTGATAAAGTTCCATACCAACTAATTCAAAAGATTTTTGTTTAAAAAGTACTTTCCCCAAATATAACAAGCCTCAGAGCCAGTAAAGGTATATACTTGTATTTTAAAAATCATCTTGTAAAAATGAGTGAAAGCTTTTTCCATTGAGATTATTTTCCCAAGCATTTTTTCTTGGGAGCCATGACCACTGAAAATAACTTTTTTTCCAGTGAAATTATAGTAGTGCAAACATACTGTTTTCAATGAATAGGATATGTAGGATAAAGTGCAATGTAAGTAAACATGTATTTTAACCTAATTAGACTTTCTTAGTACTTGATAAACATGAAATGTTGAAAAGAAACAAAAGAAAAGAAGATTCCACTAGGAGTAATAACTCTTTAAACTTTAAATAAGCTTCAGAATTCAGGAATATTTTGCATTCTCTGTCACTGCCAAACTGGGGAGTGGGGGATGCTTAGGCACTCCAGCTTCCATTCTGAGTCCCTCACAGTTCTACAAACTAGAGACTGCAGAATTACTGCTATTTCACACTATAAGTTCAGGCACTTTTCCACAAAGGCCTTTATTTTCATCTGCTCAAGAGGTCAGAAAAAGAGAAGGTTTTTTTGTTTGTTTTGGTTTGGGGTTTTTTTGGTTTGTAAATCTGAAGAAATGTACCGAGAAAATTCTAGAGAATATTTCACATTACGCATGTGAAAATATTGTATTGCAAAAGTACAATTTTTGTATTTTCTGAATTTAGAGTGGTAAGAAATTTGGGTTAAAGCCTAAAACATATTTTGCTGCCCTATTTATAAACTAAGCAGACATAAAAGCAATAATGACCTAATTTTTAAAAGTTAACACTTTCTCAATTGCTTTTTATTGTCTACAGGTTTGTAACTTAGTAATTATCCCTCCAATCATCTGCTTTGATATGACAGAAAAGCGATTATGATTTCCAAACATAAATTAAAAACCCCTAACAAAAATCTTATTTTTATATATTATGTTTTAAGAATTGCTATTTAAAAAAAAAAAGAATTGCTATTTAATCTTCAAAAAGTCTCCATTGAGATAACCAGTAAAGTCACTGTTAAAATGCATGAATTTTAACTACAATTCCTCCAAAAGTAGTTTCTTTAACATCTATACTGTCAAAACTATAAAACTTGAAGGGGGTCTTATATAAATTAAATATGGAGGCAATTTGGTTACGAGAATCTCACCTTAGGACTTCTGCATTTACAGCCTCAAAATCAACTGTTCATACCAAATAACTTTACTTTGAAAAAATAAAGAGGAGTCATATAATTTCACAGACTTATCACCTGTACCTTTATGGACTGTCAGCCTTTGGTTTGGGAACCAACTTCTTTCCCAAACTGTCTTTGTTGGTATTTGAATGTAGTATGACTACAGCTGAGTTGTCCTCAGTGCTACCAGATAGAGGATTTAACACAGAAGTTTTCACATAATACAATGACCTATTGACAGGGATGTGCATAGACCTAGTAACTTAGTATATTATCAAAAGAAAAATTAGCAGCTAATACAATAAAAAGTGAAGATGACTTTTTTTACCCTCCCCCATTACGAGCTTTTATTTAAAAGGACATACTTTATTCTTACATAGCCACAAGTCAAATTTCATTTCAGCATTGAATGCTACCTAGGAAATTCTACTGCTTTTTGGCAAATGAGCTTAATACATTTCTACAATTTACAAGGCCAATAAAATGTTTAAGAACAGGCATGGAAAGCCATGAACCAAAAGAGGAAAGATTAAAAGGAAAAAAATTAGAAGGAAATGAAAGAAGGGTTTGGCCAAAAAAAAAAAAAAATCCCATTTTAAACCATACCAGACATTTTCCCTTATTTCACAATATATCAATATCACAATATATCAATATATCACTGGATAGAGTCTCATTGACTTTCGCTTAATTGCTGAGGCAAGTCTGTTGTTAACAAAAAGGACCTTCTGAAAATTTAAATTTTTCCATGCAGAACACATTCCAATCCCAGAAAACTGGACCCTTTATAATGAAAACACTTGATAGACCAACCTATAGCTGAGCTATTACCACTCAAATCCACTTTCAAGTTAGTTTTTCAATTAACATAATACTATAAGGTTTCTGAGGATCAGAGAAGTGACCATTCTAACAAGAAATCCAATGCTGCAATTTTTATCTTAGGGTCTCCATTTAAATTTTTTTAAGTTGGTTAGGAAAACAGATTTAGAGTAGTGAGAAAGGAAATCAAATTTTACTGCAGGTTAAAACATTTCTACAAAAGAAAAAAAGCAACTTAATGTTAACCCAGCAGAGCTAGTAATAGATGAGTTTAATTTTACATGGGTCAGAAGCAAAAAGATGCTGAAGGTTGAATTTTGACAGTAGCCCTTTAAAATGGAAATTGAAGAGTGCCTTATGTCCAATAGTACTAGTGAGAAATTAATGTTGGCAAAAACATTAATATTCTAAAAGGCTTACCCAACTCTGAATGCATCATTAGCACAATTTTAAATACTTCAAAAAAAAGTTTCCTAATATAAAAATGATTCCTTGTTTTAACAACCAGTTTCAAGAAAACAATTCCAGTTATAATTCTGTTAAATTTGCCTAATCACACAAACCTAAGCAGAAACTTAATAACTGTGCTGTTTGCATCTAAATTCAATTAGAAACATTCATTTTAAAGAACAGATTTTATATTAATCTCACGACTGTTTCTTATTGTTTTGTTTTTACCTTAACTACTGCATGCCACAGGTTTGCTAATGCAAATGCTCGTAGAGCTAGCAACCACAGTGCTACCTGAAGATTGTTTGTTGTACATTTTAAACTTGAAAGCATTTTCTTATATTCTATTGTTTGCTCTGAAGACATGAGGTTTAGATAGTCAAGGAAAACATATTTTGTTTCATCATTCAGAAGCACTTCAGGGTATTCACATAGTGTTGCAGAAAGGACAGAGCACAGGTGAGAGAGTTCTAACTCAGTGCCTACTTCCTCAAAAAATGCACTTTGCAGTTCATCCTCAAGGAGCCCCTTTTCTAACTGCAGCAAGTTTACTTTTTGTTTGTATGGCAGTTCTGACAGCCAGAAATTTGCAAACCGTACAAAATTATCCGCTATGTGACACCACTCTTTGAGGTCGTTAACAGAACAGATAGCTCTTTCCAGCCAGTCACTGACTACTGCTTCATTAATACTACAGAAAATCTTAGCAAAATGTTCTTTGGCAGGAAAAACCACATTAACTGACTCTTTCTGAGCAGCTGCTTTAGTTGAATTTCTTCTTGTTGATTTTCTCAAATAAGGAGGCATTTTGTTACCAATGTGTGGCAATGGATCAGCCTTACTCAAATAATTCTTCATCTCGGAAGAGAACGGCTCTTTGTGTAAACTTCTGTTGAAATCAACTCCGGGTTTATTTGACCAGGAGCATGTGTCTGATAGGTGAGGGATCTCCTTCTGCTGTCTTTTATTAACTTTACAAAATAGTTTGCTGGAATCAACGTCTTCTTTCCCTTTCATGTTAATGAGGCAACTGCCCAGAGTAGTTCTTCTGTCTCTCATAGTTTCCATCTTATGAAGCAGTAAACCCAGAAATAGTACTTTGTTACAGTCAGCCAAATATATTCAGTGGATCTCAATATGTACCTGAAAAAAAATTATCAAATTAGTATCTCTTTCCAATTATAAATCTTAAAATATTGAAAACAAAAACTTGAACAGCTTTTAAATCTTGCTACTTAGGAATCAATAGATTCTTTAAGAAATGTGAAAGATACTAATGGGTGACTCCTATGTATGAAAAGCACAATAGTGGTCTAAACTCAAGTAAAAACCTATCCTAAACAGGTAAAAACATATAGATTTCATAATCTTAAAAGGCATTGTTCTTTTAAAAAATTAATTACTTAGGTCTTAAAAGCGTTGAAATACTTAAGCTAAATACTGACTAAAGTCAGGAAGGCAGCATCAGCAAAGTCATTATTCAGAGTATCTTTTACTACCATGTCTGTAGGAAATTAACTAAAAGGAAGGCTTTGGAACAAGTCTTTCAAATGAATCTTTGAAATATGTTTTCATGAAGACTCTGAATGAGTTTTAGTAAATATCCTTGTATTAACTTACATAGTACATAATATCATTCACAGCTTATAAATAAGCTGCCAGGAAGTGTTTCTTTTGGGGAAAGGAGAGAGAGCAAAGGTAGCAGCCCTTCTGAATATCAGAACCTGGAGGGACAAATTAAACCTGAAAATTAAGTTTGAAAGGAGAAGGCAGTAAAATGTTTCTTAAAAAACCTCCAGACTTTCCCTGCTGTTTATAGGTACAGTTGCATTAGAATATCCACCTTTCTATTTGAATCTGAGGATTCTGATGCATGAGGCCACCTAGGAACTTCATGAAGACAAAAGTTGATTAGCCCACACAACATGAAAATTAAGTTAGTTCCTCATTGCCTTGGAAGTCTGCAATAAAGAAAAAGTCAGTATGCCATTGAAGAACTGCATGTTTGTAAAAGCCTGACTACCGATACTTTAAATTTGCTCCAAATCATAACACCTGTTTTCTGTAGCAACAGCTACTGAAATAACTAGTCATACAATTAATACAAATGAAAGCAAGGAAATATACTTGAATTGCCATTTAACATCACTCAGTATCTTCTGTAAAAAGTAAGCAGATATTAAATAAAACAGCATTATACAGTCAGAAATCACAGAATTTCAGAGCTGGAAGCAATTTCAGTAGCTATCTGAATCCAGCCCATACCCTAAAAATCCTCTTCACATCATTCTTGATTAATGATCATCCAGTCTTTGCTTGAAGTATTATCCAATGAAGCAGCCTATTCCACTTTTGGAAAGCTTTAACTGGAAGGAAGTTTCCTTCTATCAGGGCAGCTAGGTGACTCAGTGGATAGAGTGCCAGGCTTGGAGTGGGGAAGACTCATCTTCCTGAGTTCAAATCCGGCCTCAGACACTTACTAGCTGTATGACACAAGTCACTTAATCCTATCTACCTCAGTTTCCTCATCTGTAAAATTAAGTGAGGAAGAAATTGGCAAACCACTCCAGTATGTTTGCCAAGAAAACCCCAAATTGGGGTCACGAAGAATGAGACATGACTGAAAACAGCTGAACAACAACGAATTCCTTATATCAAATCTCTGAAAATTACAACCACTGCTCCACGTCTTGATTCCTGAGGCTAAGTAGAATAAATCTAATCATTCTTCCTGCTGACATTCAGTCAATACCATACAGCTATCATCCACCACCACCCAGCAACCCTATTTAGTCTTCTGTTCTTTAGGCTCAACATACCCCTTTCTTTCAAATGAATCTCATGGAACTCAAGGTCTTTTACCATCCTGGTTGTCCTCTTCTGGATATTCTCCAGCTTATTAATGTCCTTAAAATGAGGTGCCCAAAACCAAACATCATCCTCAAAAATATGATGTGACCACGGCAGAGTACAACAAGATGATTATTCAAGGAAGCCGTTGGAAATTCTTAAAATCATGAAATACTGAAGTTTTGCTAAATTTAAACAAATAACACAATACAATAAATTACTAGTGCTAAAATTCATGAATAGCATATTATTTTTATAGTATTTAGGGAGTCCAGATCTATGATTTCCTTCATTTAAGGAAATCCTCATGAGGAAACTCCTATCACCAACAGAGATCAACAGCTCCTCTGTAACTAAAGAGTTACTGATATCTTTTCAGCATTACAGAGTCAGTATGTATCAGAAGGGCTTGTTTATTATGTTACAATAAATAATAAATTATTAATAATAATGGCAGCTTAAGTTTAAAAAGCATTTTAAGATTTACAAACCTCTTTCCTCACGGTAATGCTCTGATGGGAGGTTATGTCATTCCCATTTTAAAGATAAGAAAATTAGGACTGAGGGCAATTAGGTGCCCAGAGTCATAAAGCTAATAAATGTCCAAGCTGGATTTTCAGGCCAGAGTACTGGACTCTAAATTCAGAGTGCTTTCCCAAATTTTTCTACTACTTTTCAATTCCACTCACAAAGAAATGAGTAAACCTGTTTCTCTACAATCCCTTCAAAACTGTTTCACTATTTAAAATTACTTTAATCAATTCGTAGGATACAAGGTTAATTTGATTTGCATCTCTGATTATTTGTATTTGATTATTAGTGAGGTTGAACATTTAAGTGATTAACAATTTGTATTTTACCTTTTGTAAACTGTGTATTCATATTCCTTGATTATTTTATCCATTAGGAACTCTAAGATATCTTTTAAATTTTTAACAGTTCCTTTACTACCACATTTTTCTTCTGTCAAATACATCATCAATTTATTTTTATTTTGGTTTATGTGGTTGTACAATTTTTTTTCATTTTAACGTAATCAAGCACATTTATCTTTCCCCTGATAATTTCTTCTCTTCATTTAAAAGAAAAATTATTCTCCCTTCTGTAACTGATATAAACACATTCCAGTTTCTTCCATATTTTAAAGTTAATTTTTATTTTTAAGAGCATCATCTAGCAGGAATACTACAAACTACAGTATAAAGTATGAGTGTCAGTCTAAATCCATTCCCTGACACATTACTAACCAGTTTTTTCCAAGTAATGTATTGGAAAGAAAACTTACAGAAAATAAAAAATGGGGAGAAGACACGCTAATTTTTGTGTGTATTTTTTTTGCCTGATAGTTCTAATTATGTTTCACTGATCTACTTCTCTAATTTTTCCCAGCACCAGAGAGCTTTGATAATAACTTCCTTCTTGGTTCTTAGGCCAAAAAAAAAGTGAGAAAGGTTCAGTGGAACAGAGTTAAAGCTATCAAACATGCAACCAAATAACATAAAAGTTAGTATATTTTGACTCTTCTCCCCATTTTTTATTTTCTGTAGATTTTAAAAAACACATGAACTTGGGAAAAAAAATTTTAAACACATGTGCTTTGTTAGTGATATGTCAAGAAAAGGATTTAGACCTATTATATTTCATCCTTAACACTGGATATCCTTAACTAGAAGAAATAATAAAATTTATATGGAATATCAAGAAGGTCAAAAATCTCAAAGCAAATAATGAAAAAAGAAAAGTAGCAAAACTATAGCATATCAAAATTATTTGCAACAATTTTTAAACATTAAAGCTGATCAATGTGTTCCATAAGCAGGTGAGACCCAGAAGCAATTAAACATAGCAGCCCAACATTCCATAAAACCCAAAGACAACAATATGGGTAAGGACTCCATATTCAACATATTCACCTGGGAAAAGCAGAAAGCAGTTTGGCAAAAATAAGTTTTAAACCAATATCTCATACCACATGCCATAATAAACTCCAAATTGATACATTACTTAAATACAAGAGGTCACATTAAAAAAAATCAAATAGAAGGTATCTTGCACAACTAGGATAGGAGAATTTTTAACTGCAGAAGGGATAGAGGTTATCAAAGAAGATAAAATGGCCAGTTTTCATTACATAAAATTGAAAAGCTTTTGCATAAACAAAAGCAATGCTGCTAGAATCAGAAGAGAATCAGTTAACGGGATGGGAACTTACGCTACACTTATCTCTGTAAATGGTCTAGAATCTAAGATATGTGTGTGTATAGATACATCCATATACACATATATGATATAAATATGTAAAAACAAGGGCAGGCAGCTAGGTGGTGCAGTGGATAGAGCACCGGCCCTAGATTCAGGAGGACCTGAGTTCAAATCCAACCTCAGATAACGCTTACTAGCTTTGTGACCCTGGGCAAGTTACTTATCCCTCATTGCCCAACCAAAAAAATTAAAAAATTAAAAAATAAAAATAAAAACAAGGGCCATTCTTCAATAGATAAATTACCAAAGGATATGAAGTTTCCAACAGAGGAAATGCGAGCTATCTACAACAGTATGAAATACTATTCCAAATTATTAAAGAGAGAAACGACAAGTTACAACCACTCTGAGGTTTCATTTTACAACCATCAGATTGGCAAAGATAAGTAAGGATAAAAATAGCATATACGGGGAAAGCTGTGTCAAGAGAGGCAGGCTAATGTATTATTGTGGACCTATGAATTGGTTCAACAGTTCTGAAAAACAATTTGGAATTATATTAAAAAAATAATTAAGCTGTACATTCCCTTTAATTCAGGGATATTACTACCAGGCATATGCAACAAGGAAGTCAAACATGGAACAAAAGGCCCTATTTAATACAAAAGTATTTGTAGAAATATTTATTACAGTAGCAAAGAAACAGGATTGCATCCCCATCAATTTTGGAATTTTATTGTGCTGTAAGAAATGACATATAAAGAATTCAAAGAAGACCTGTATGAACTGAAGCAGAGCGAAGTGAGCAAGCCCAGAAGAACAATTTACATAATGACCACAACAACATGAAGGAAATCAATAACGAAAGAATGAATCACTGCACTAACAATTATGACTTTAGAGGATTTGGTGGTGAAGCATTAAGAACACAAGGAGGCTAACACTTTCAGATTAGGCCTACGTGTTGAGTTGTTTTTCTTGACTGTGCTTATTTGTTAAAAGGGAGGGAGTCACTGGAAAGTGACAGTGATACATCAAAAAAACAAAAACAACCCAAAAAATCTTAAAGGGAGAGAAAAGACAAAATTAAG